GACTGGCCCAGGCCGGCTGACCGATTCAGCCCATTTTAGTCCGGTTCAGCCCCAGTTTAGTCCGGTTCGTTTCATGTTCAGCCCGGTTTATCATTTAAGGATATTTTCAGTTAATTTCTGGGATTATTTCAGTTCAGTAAAATCATGTCCAAATCAGTTCAGGTTAAGTCAGTTCCGGTTATTCCGGATAAAGTCTAAAAATCATGTTAAGTTAAATAGAGCATCTTAACGAAAATAATCAGTTAAGTTAACAGTCTGAGCATAGTCAATAGTAATTGTTTATATTATTTTCAGTTTGAGCAGGCATCAGCACTACCTATCAGTTCAGCATTTCAGGTGGGGACTCAGACTAAGTATTACATTGTTTATAATTACGCTACCATGTTCGAGGTATGTATATTCAGTATCCGCTCGGAATGGTCGCCGGTCCACTCTGGGTTCTAGTGGCCCTAGTCTGCCCAATAGAGTGTGCACATGGTGTCCGGTTCGCCGGCAGATGTTCAGTTCAGATGTGACTTCACTACGTGGCTTATGTCACGAGATCAGTTATCAGTTACGTGACTTATGTCGCGAGTTCAGACCGGTATCAGATATCAGTTCAGTTCAGTTATATATGCTTAGTTCATGATATTGTTATTATTTACAATGTTTTACATTAGTATGAGTTTCCACGGAGCACAGTGCCATAGTGCTCACTCCCCAGTTTTATCATGTTTTTCAGGTCAGGACGTCGGGCCGGGAGCGTGACGTGACGTGACGGGGACTTCAGGATATTTATATATGTTTTGGATTGTATAAATATGATTATGACTTACGCTTCCGCTTATATTTTGATGACTTTTTACGATGTTTGTTGGTTTTGACGAACTTTTAAGAAACTCATGATTTCAGTAACCGGACGTTTTTATTAAATTAAAACAACGGTTTTCTAAGTTAAGTCACGATTTTAAAAGGTAGCACCCCGAATCAGTTTTCGTGAAGTAAAAAGGATTTATTTTTAATAACTTTGCGAAATTAGCGCTACTCTGATTTTACAGTAAGGAGGGGTGTTACACGTGCGCTGCCTTTGCGCAACTCGTGCACCCCGTCTCCTTGCCGCCAGATGCTAACGCATCCCAATCAACCTCCGTGGCCTGATCCTCCGACCTTATGCGTGCATCAAGGCACGATGTGCGTTCCTTGCTCGTGCTCGCACCCTCGTCGCCAACCGACTCCGGCTGCTCGCCCAATGGCCATGGGTCCCAACCCGTCAACCTCACACAATCATCTGCCGGTATCCACCATCCATTCTTTACCCATCGTAAGCCACTCCTTTTAGCCTCCTTCCTTTGAGCTCGTCTTTTCTTTGCACAAGGCTCGCACCTACATTGACTTACTTTTCGGGCCCTTGCTTTACGTTGTCTCTTGGCCGTCCGTTTCCTTACCTTTGACTTCAGCTTTGGGCCACAACCTTTTGGCCAATCCCTCTTGCATGATGGCCGGTAAATAGGACTAGATGGCGCCTCCAACATATTTTCCATCCAAATATCAAGACCATCGCCATCATCATCGTCGGACTCACCGGGGTTGATGACCACTTCCGTATCACAGCGCCCCAGCGCACGCCAGCACGCACTGATACGGAAGTGGGTTCTGGACCCCGACGACAAGAAGATCCAAGAGGCGAGACGACCTGATGAGGCTGGAAAAAGGGCCAAAACAACACATGCATGGCCTAAAAGACGAGTACGAGCGCGTATGCGGGACACTCAAGCACGTGGGAAGCAGCGCGTACAAGGCAATAGACAAGGGCGCGCACACGCACAAGGGCGTAGACGTGCATGGTGTTTGGAGATTAGGCGAAGTAGCGCGCAGGGGGAGGTTGTTGGGTGGATGACGCGCGAGGGGGATTGCTATGGGCCAATGAACGCAGGTGCGAGCCAGCAGCGCGCATCGGGACTTGATGCGCGCAATTGGTCCAGTGATCG